ATTATTGATTTCATTATAGCTACCTGTGTAGGAGTAGCAATTCCACCACAACTTCTTATATTCCCCTCGTCTGTTTGAAGACACAACTGTCTGCTCCTGCAAGCACTTGTATATACTGTAGGCTCTACGTGGTGAGGGTGGATACCTATACTGTATGGTCTCAATGATGGAGTGTGGAAGATTGTCTTGATTTGATGGCTTAAGATATCCAATGAAAGAGAGAGATGGGCATATAGCTAGAGAGCATAGGAAAATGGAACTTCCAATGTGGATGAAATGAGATGAGATGAGATGAGATGAGATGAAGCATTGGGTGCATCAAACAGCTGGCATTGGGCTTGTGGCTGTATGCGTGCAATTCCATTTGAGACTAAAGGCGGTTGCGTGGATGCAACACCAGGGCACGAGAGATTGGGATCCTGACTTTGAGCAAATTGTTTTGCCATACAAGCCATTGAGCAAATGCTCTAGACAGCAGCACAATATGGATGGTGCTTCGATTGGGTTTGATTGTCCTCCAAGAACACATGGGCACCATGTGAGAGGGAAACTTGCTGGGCAACCAATGATGGGGATGGGGTGCATGGAATGCTTGGTGCAAATGGGTTTGTGCATGATTAGGTGGCCCAATGGAAGATCAGAACCATTTGGGTACAACATTGGTTGCTCCTTATGATTCATGCTATTGGTAGTGCAATTTTTTGCACAATCTATTGGTTTACTTTTGGGTGGGTGTTGGTGAGGTCCAATGAGGTTTTGAGCTTGGGTGGCATCGCGAGAATGTCCTTGGCAATGTTGGGTGAATATTAGGAGCATGCTGAGCATGCCAGGTTTGGTACAACCTGACTTCATGTATATCTATGTGTGGGCAAGAAGGTTAGGGTGAAGAGAAGGTAGCCTTGGGAATGAGTAGTGGCCACACAGCCAATTCAGACCCTCAGTGTATCTAAGGCTGGATCATTCCATGGGCTTCATAAGATTCTTTGGAAGATTTCGTCATAGATGAGGGGATATGGAGCATAGATCTGAAGAGCCATTGGGTGAGAGCAGTGGAGATGAGCAGGATTGGTCCAATCGAACTTGTGGGATAGGATGTGAGCTCCCAAGTGACCCTGAGAATGAGGATGAGGCTTATTATGGGTATGGACGTCAAGAAGGCCATGCAAAACCCAATTCCAATCAGTCATCCAGGTCCAGTACTACTAAGCAAGTTTCTCAACTTTTGTTGGGCGTGGTGGGCGCATTGTGTTTCAAGATAATGATCTTCTCTCCATTTCATAAAGAATGTGGAGGGAGAAGCCCATTTCATAAAGAATGTGGAGGGAGAAGCCCAAAAAGTGCTACCTTTGAAACAATCAGAATGCTTATGGGCAAGGAAGGGTAGAGTTGGATCCAGAGGTTTTTTAAACAAGAAGAAAAGTTGCTTTTGTTTAGGAAACAGGAGCACAAGAACATATCTAGACTATAACCATGGAAACTCTGACTAAACAGGACAAAATCTAAGAAAAACACCACAAAAGCACGTAAAAACCACACCCGCATAACGTCGAGCTCTCTATTTTTTCCTCCCAGCCCTGCTCTCTATAGGGCTTCGCATTGATGCACGATACCCGAAACACATTTCAACACAACCACAAAAACCATTTCGGGCATCATTCTCCTGGTGTTCACTGACGTTTATTTTCGCACGGATTCTCAAATAGAACACCAACAAGGGACGCTCCAGAAGGCGCCGCACCAAGCAAATCAAGAATATAAAAAACATTCAACACTTCATGCTGTGCTCCGGTCTTGACCTACTCCACGTTGATACAAGCTCCACGAAAGCTACAGGCATTCAACAATAAGCGCTCCGCTATTTTTTCCTCCCAGTCTTGCGCTACGATATTGGTCTCTCGCTGGCTTTCGTCCTCTCCTTTCTCAGGTTAAATTGATTCCTGGAATTGGCAACCCTCTTGAATCACATATTCTTAAAAATATTCCAAATATTCCGCCTTAAAAAACATTCAACATATTGAATATTTTGAATTAGACAGAATTTAATGCTTTAAATATACAAATATTTCGCCTGTTAACACTATTTTTAACTGTTAACAATATTGAATTCAAAGGGGTTGCCAATTCAACTAATTACTATTTTCAAAATTTCCAACATGTAAAACATTCAATTCAATTTTAACTCAATGATTGAAAAATTTTAGCTAAATGTTGATAGGCGAAGCCTTTCCTAATATTCCAACATTAAAGTCAATTTTCATTCAACCATTTAAATGTTTTAAATACTTTTCCATAGGCTGAATATTTAAAATATCCAAAATATTGGAATTTAATGAAAATTAATGTTTTAAGTTTTTGATGCACTACTCGGCGTCCATTGCGTCGCTCGCATCACCAGACCCCATTTTCACTGTGTTTCTGACCCTCGCTTTGGAGCGCTCTCCCCCGCCAAGCTCCGGGTTCACCTTCTCAAAAGGCCTTTTCGCGCCCTCCCCCCCACACCCCCTTAATTCACTTCGTTCGCTCTAAGAGCTCAAGCCTAGCCTATCGGCTGGCTTTCGTAATATTAAAACGAACTACAACATTAAGTTATATTTATTGAAAATTTCAATATTATAAATATTCAGCGTAATACAAAATTCCGAAAAAGTCTAGTTCAACAGTTTTGAATTAAACATAAATTGAAGCTTTTCAAATATTTTTCCTGTTAAAAATGTTTAGTTCAATATTTTTAGTATTGACTTAAAATCAAATGT